CTCTCCATATGAGTGTTTATTTTTAACATTGTTATGGATTAAATTTATCCTCGTGATATTATCGTGTACCGTTAGGGGGAAGGGAAAAGCTTGTTGGCTAATTTTATGTGGATGACGTTGTGCTGCAAATATCCAGGCTGGTTGTAAGCTGTTCTAAATATTTCGAGCCGCATTCTAGCCAAGTTCGGCATCTTCACAGAATAAAATACTGTTATCATAATGGTTCAATCTCACTCGTAGTAGCACTCTAATCGCAAGGGCAGTGGATTGAGTAGATAAATTTTGCTACTTAAACGGATGTGCTTCTCTTTAGGCGGACAAACTTCGGATAGTGTCAGCACGCATACAAAATATCCTCTTGGGATTTGACCAATTTAATCAGCTTTGGCGCCGCAGCGACAAACGGCTGTCCGTGAAAGATCGAAAGTAGGCTGTGGCAGTTCAGCCAGTTGTATTGTATAGCACACGCGTTCGTAATGGTATATAATTTTAATTGGACAACTATGTGCAGTTGAAACGAACAGTTACACTAGCTACTTCATCAAAAGATAGAATAATTGTGAAAGGAATACTGGTAAAACCTGGCTGAAAAAGTAAGTAAAGGTTGCATCAGATCTATCAGAACTAAAGAGTTTCCAACAATGTGTGAAGACTGGGAACAAAACGCAGACCGTGCAGCGACTTGAACATGGCAATTGATATGGATTATGAAGAATTACGAAATTTATACGACTGATAACTGACAGCTCAAAGCGAAGAATTTAGAAATAAGTCACTTCAATGGATTGGTAAAACTAATGAGGAGAGACATAGAAGAGAACATGGAAAGGGCATCGATAAATAAATAAATCAAATAACTCATTTTTGTGACTGTTTTCGTACTTCAGATTCCCACCTCGAATTCGCATAGATAATAAATCCTAGATGATTTGATTATAGGTGTGAGGGATGAGTAGGAACTGTCGGGGTTTGCACACACCACTATTTGTGCAGCATTACTCGAGTCTGGTGCGACAACCGGACAAGCAATAATGAGCTTAGATGGAGAGAACTAGGCTGCTGTGGTTCAACATGATGGCAGGTTAATTTGTCACAACATACTATCGGATGAACCTCTCAGTTATATGAATTGGCTGATCTTATGATAGAAACATGTAGTGGATGACTAGCTCAACAAGGCCATATAATTTCAGCGATATGTTATCGCATTTAGAATACATACTCAGAAAAAACACCTGAATTTATTACAAAATTACTCAATCACCATATAATTCATACATTTCGCCAGCACTCTTAACGCTATTTCAAACGTAGTTGATTTGATAGATATATCTTATTCCGTTCAAGACGTATGATTAAAATGGTCATTTTGATAGGCCGGTACATTAAGAGTAGCAACTGTTTTGGCGCTTGTATGATGGTAACTGAGACAAGAAATATAATTTGCAAGCACCACACTAAGGGCATGAGAATGTGGGTAACAGCGATGCGTTTATCGATCGAGCATGATACATTGGCATCGACAGAACGTGGCACAATGTGTTTAAGGCGAGGGGAGCAACTGTGCATAAATGTGCGTACGTGTAAGTACCAGGTAAACGACCGAGATATGTAATGGGATTTGGAGCATGTGGTTTTCTTCTTTTCTTTTTAATTTTACTTCCTTTTATTGAATAAACAATGATACAATTTTCAGGAAGGGGGAAGCGGCCAATCAAAGGGCTGCCATGGTGAAAGGCAGTTTTAGTGGGCTTCGAACACACGTCCCCCGAGGTGGTAATTTGGTGACGTTACCACCGGGCCACCGTCTTCCACACGTTTCAACAAGGGGTTGAAAAACCTCTGTTGTATGGCGATCAACCAAACAGCTATGAGACTTTGAAACGCTGAAGAGAACTTGGAATGATGATGGAACAGCTGAAATTGCTAAATGTATACGTTATTCCTATTTTACAATATGCCTGAGAATGGACACCCAAAGATCACAACCAATCAGCTGATCAAAAGCGTTCTGCACAAGATTGTGTGACGGACAGACAGAGGTCATTCGAGCAAATCGCGACCACATCACTACAGTGCATGAGCGTAGGCGTGTTTACCGGAATCGGGTCGACGACCCGTATGGTTCTCTAAAGTGGGTGTACCCATCGGTGGAAGATATGCGAACTCACTTCGACAACTCTGGTTGTGACAGAATTACGGCTCAAATCACTACACTCAGAATCAAGGCAACGAATGATTTCAACAGGTGAGACATTGAATGTTAGGAGTCTGAGTTTGGAGATCATTAGGGATTTGTCCAATAGTTTCGTATCCCCATCAGTTTTTCGTTTAATCTCACTCCATTCACCACAGATCGGCCAGATGAGTAGTCGAAACACAGCGGCCAAAACCCGAGAATGGAAATGCCGGCTTCGTGGTTGCACAAAATGAAATGGAAACACCTAGTGAACATTAGCATATTTCATGTCTGACCAATAGCTAAATTTATGTGCTTCCATTCATTCCTCCTCTTGTATCGGTTTATTCAAATGAGCGAAGGAAATGTGCTTGCATGATCAAGCACCTTTAATAAAAAAATGCTCAACCCGCTGCAGACTGCGGTACAATACCAAATGTTAGCGCCATTCTCACCACTAATAGCAACCATAAAAACCAACTAAAGCGGAATTCTAATAAATACACATAAACACCCACTGATTACTATAGTAGGTTCAGTCAACGAGTTTGAGTCCCCTATACACTATACCACTATCAGCAAAATTGCAATAAGCTTCGGACAATAAATTTTGGGCCCTTCGTGTTTGTATGGTATGTGGGAAACCTAAAGAGGACTTCTTCATGAGACGATGATGGTACGTACACCCAATGATCATGATTGTGATGATGACGACGATGACGGTGATGTACAGAATGACCTGAAAGACCGGGGCGTGGTTTCCGCTCGTGTTTGTATGTATGCATGGACAGAGACAAGGGCAACAACAGATGAGGGATACGTACACAAGTCCAGACCGGACATGAATAATTCATACTGAGCGCGTATCTTATGCGCGGTACTCCGTGTATGCGCGCATGCACAACGAGTAGGAGTGGAAAAAGAAGAAACTGGAGAAACGAGGGAGAACAGAAGGTGAAAAAGCGACTCGGTCGATTCTGTGCTTGTGTGTGTGTGTGTGTGTATGAGAGAGAAAGTCCAAACAGAGGGTGTGGAAGGATCAAGCAAAGGGAGGATTAGCAGGACGATAAGGAAAAATGGTCTAGTTTGTAATAATGACATCAAGACCACAGTGCGTTTCTGTGATTTTGTCCGCGGTTGAATGCCCTCTGGCTCGCAATTCCTCAAGCATGCACAAGTGGACACACACACAATGTCCAGAGCGTGCGATAAGTACCAGACCGATGCAGTGGCGAGGGCAGTGATGGACCGAACTATATTAGTTAGAGTTGTCTATCTATCTGTCTGACTGAGTGTGAACGCGTGTGTGAAAGAGACAGAGCAATTGACACAACCCTGTAGTCAGTCAAGGGAGTCTTTATTTCACCCGGATATGTCAGCAGACCACTGCGACCACTACAATCATTGGTGCGGCTACTACTACTACTACTACAGCTACTAATAACTATCATTACCACTACTACGGACAAGTTCCGCTCAATAAATCACATGGATAGAATGAGCACGTCGGTTATGCATCACAGACGTACAACTTCCAAGTGTCAAAGTGTGGAGTGGAGCACGCAGATGCGAGCCAGGAAGAGAAGTAGGCCGGTTCAGACTGAACAAACCAACAGAATGCCGTCGTCTTGAAGCAGCGGAGAAAAGTTGGGGAAAACACACGGCAAAGTAAGCCAAACCGCGTAATAAATCGGTCTATGTTTGCTAGTTAGATCGAAACCCCATAGGCGCTACGTATTAGTTCGTTTGGATCGGAGCAGCCAGTAATCTCCCGAAGTGTGTTACTGATTTTTTTTGACCTAATAGCAAAGAAGGTAAGTCGCGCAAAGGTAAGGAGCGAGAGAGAAACATCAGACGGTTTAGATAAATAGGAACGTAGTGGTAACCGTTCCGGCGGCGATCAAGTTTGATAGGTCACCATCATACCGACCCAAGAGGCCGTGTTCGAATAATAAATTCTTCTTCTGGAAGCAATTAGATTGACTAAAAACTCAACTGTTCAGCTATCCGAATGGATGCTAATGGCTAAATTTCGGTAAAAGTTTTATATCGTGGCCCTATTTTTAAATTTATCACAAACGGATCATTTTCATCTCTAGTACAATCGAAACTCGAAAGTCCATGTACCAACCCGTGTAATTCTAGAGGGCCACGAACAATGCTCAGAAAAAAGCTCTGTCGTAAAGNACTGTCAGGAATGGCAATGTCAAGGCATCCTACCATCAACTGAAAAACTCCCGAATAGATCCCTAAAATTAGTGAAAATGCGATACCGCGAACGATCTGGTTTTCAGCACATTCTGTGTTAGCGCATTGCTACATATGCTCGATATTTCCGGAAAAGATTTTTTAAACTTCTGTGACTTTCTTTTGCGAGGAAAAATCAGCCGAATGGATGAATCAAGGAACAATCTCGGAAATATTATATAAAGTGGCACGACCAGCACAGCTCAACCTGTTTCTTCAAGGGTGCGTATCTAGTCCTGGCACAGTTACCGGCAGGGCAACAGAATGACGGCGATGGCTTTATTTAGTGCAACCCCAACTACGTGCACTTTTGTGCCATTTTGTTGCAGAGAAAAGGCCTATTCGGTGAAAACATGCCAAATCCTTGGACATTGTCGCAGTGAAGCAATAAAACGATCACTTTTGTGGTATTTCTTCTATTCGCAAATTGTCAATGCACCCACTTGCGTCAGGTACCGTGAAAGTAGAATCAGAGTAATCTTTCAAAACAGAACACTACTGAGAGTTCCGTAGTGCCAATCTCAACAAAAATAGCACGGTAGAAACGAAGAGTTGAAATATTAAAGCAACTCACCGGCTCAAACCACTACCCCGACGATACCACATGCTTGGGGAAAGCATGGGTGAAGTGGTACGTCTAGTGGTGGGAACAGGAGAAGCAGCGGATGTGGTCATCATTGCACTGGCAGCTACCGCGGCTGCCATCGCAGCCGCAGCTTGCCGATGTTGCCATGAGGATGCAGACGAGTCACGGGATCTTGGACCGTCCAGATCGGTACTCGTCAACTGACTACTGGATAATGGGACTGAGCCAGGGCCTGTAGTGTTGTTATTTCCTGTATTGTTTGGAATGCTCATGGAATGGGACGAAGAGAGTGAGGATGCAGAGGACAGGTTCGAACTGAAAGAGGCAGCCACGGCAGCAGCTGATAACAATTGCATATGAGCTGCGGCTGCAGCAGCGAACATGCTGGAAAAAAAGCAAATGAGGAATGATAAGCACCATGAGCTGAATTATGATAAAAAAAAAAACATCTTGAAAATTCCTCCTTCCTGAATAGCTAGCAATGATGACCGTTTATTTTCTCACCGTAGCTAGTGCTCGTGGGGCTGATGTGATTTCCGATTGAACAGCTATAATCGGTAGTCCCATCTACATCTTGCATCAAGCGCGACTTTGGATCATTACTTTAATCTAAAAACGTCGCAGATAAGTGTAGTGACCAACATTAATAAAGGATTTGGTATAATTTGGGATTTGGTCGAGTGATTATTGACTTTTGAACATTTTGCTAAGTTCTTCACCTCTCTTTGATGCAATACATAGTAAATAGACTAGTAAGTGATATAGGAATTAGTTACGTGAACAGTGGGCTATGTGGAGCCATGTGACGGCCACAACACATCGCATTCACGAATATCTCTGAGGACCGAAATCTGATACAATCTTTAGCATTTCACACGGTATGATAAAGCTTACCTGGGTGAATAAGGACTAGCCACTGCGGAATTGCTTGATGTGGAGGGCCGACTCAGGTCTCGACGGGGATACAGTGCGGCTGGAGAGAGCGTAGCCGCAGCAGCAGCAGCAGCTGCAGCTGCCGCTGCAGCGTTAGCCATGTTGGACGATTTGGGTGAGGATGGTGGTAAACTGTGGACAGGTGAACGTGCTGACGGGGGACCGCTCCCAGAGAGCGTGCGTGATCGACTTCCACCAACACTAGCTGGACTAGATAGTCGAGCCGTGCTGGATGGGGACTTCTGTAACGTAGGTTGTGGAGTGGCAGGATGATGTGTTTGACTGGTGCTTGTTGTGGTTGTGGTGGTTTGTGGAGAAGCAGATCCACTCCAAGAAGCCACAGCAGCAGCCATAGCTGCTGCGGCAGCTGCTGCGGCGTAAAAATTCGAATGAGAAGTGGTTACACTAGAGGCTGAAGGTGAACCAGCCATAGCGGGAGAAGCGAGGGAAGTAGAAAATGAAGCTGATGAACATTGCACACTTGCTCCCGACCTCGTTGTCGATAGATTCGATTTGCCTAAGGATTCAATTAGATTGGGGAACAAAGGAGTGCAAAACAGATATAAATCACTACTAGCTGACTGCAAAACTGTCTAATATAATGCCACTCGATGGGATAAAACATTAGAGAAGAAAAGTAATGGAGAGAGAGGGGGTATTTGCTGTACGTGAAGCATTGACTCGATGGCGATTAGCATACTAGCAGGAGATTGAAATAGGAAAACCAATTTTAAGGACAGCACTCAAAACCGTCCGTTGATGATGACATAGTAAGGCATCATGCCAAGCAAGTTTACAGGCGTAGGACTGTGGATGAGTGAATGAATAAATTTTGAATGAGTAGATAAACCAACCGATCCACAATTAATACTCGTCCATAGACGAATAGCCTTCCTATTGCATTCAAATCCCACTTACGCGGCTTATGTCTGAAACGCGATCTCAATCTTTCTATTTTGATGCCGTAACAACTAGATCAATGACTTGATGATTAAAAAACAACTATGGACAAGAGAGGCAGAATGAAATCACTGGGGAAAAAGAAACATGACATTTAGTTTCCTTAAACCTGGTTGTGTATGTATTCGATGAACCCCTCGTCAACAAAGAGTTGAGTAGAAAATCCGGATTCAAATTGGAATGAGAATCTCCCCGGATGACTGATGCATACAATTACGAATAGAACGATGCATAAATACATTTACGCATATACTGCCTCGAAAGCCTCTTCCGGGGGTGGGGACTTCTTGTGTTTCGTAAAAGGCTCTTATACGACCAAGCGTATCAAATAGCCTTGGCTGAGGAAGACCAACTCACTACCTTCTCCTGATGGATATATTTTGCCACCAACGTAAGAGGATGAAGAGCAAAATCCGAGGTTCTAATCGGATTGGTGAATTACTGGCACTTGCCCTAAAGGAGTTCGTTAAAATCTTTGATTCCAAGTCAAACAAGAAGAGGCATACAAACCACACATCTTACCGCTCACAAGCCAGTCATGAAACTCTTACCTTTTCTAAAAGCTATTGTACCGTTATGTTTGGCACAGTCTGGACTCAGACGTGTGTCAAATATACATGCGGTTATGTAAGACTTTCGAGAAGAGAAGCAACCAGTACCGCTTATCTTGATAGTCACTACAAACGTTTTCCAAGGTAAATTTATCGTGTTAAAACAAATTATTAAGAAGGCGGGTGTCACCGTAACAGATAGGTACAGAAACGCAACATAAACTGGGCAGCGCATAAATGAAATTAGCTATAAAAACAGTTGAGTATTGGTCATCAAAGCAAAATTGCATTTTCTTTGCTATAAAACGAACGAATAGTCATCACAAATTATCGTTGTAAAAAGTGCTAGAAGATACTGGCCCACTTCAGAATATTTTTTCTGGAATTCTATGTTGAATCGAAACAGAAGCACAAACCTTAGCATGATCGAACGGGACAGAAATATACATTCAGACGACACCGCTTGTCATCCGTCATTCGTGTGATTCATAAGGACAAAGTTTGTTCAAACAGGCTGTTCAAGTGTTGAGTTCTAACAAATATCCTCGTTGGACCTATAACGGAATCATCCCATGTGTAGTGACATGACTGAGAAGTTAAAAGAATCAGTCAATAGAAAGCACTGGCAGAATATGTGAAAGTAACACACAAAGTAAAAAAAT